CACAGTTCGAAGTTAAGATTTTTGTACTGAAAATCTGTAGTTAACTGCCGATTATGAGTTAACTACGCACTGTGAAATACATATATAACTGAAGAAATATAGTATTTTGTTTACTTTAGTTTTTCCAACAGTATATAGTACGCAGACTGAAAAAATAGTACAATACTATATTATAGTACTGTTGGCGACCCTACTTAAAACTGTAACTGAATTTCGTGTATTATATAAACATCGTGGATGTTCTTGTAATAGTCGTTGATCGGTACTCATTTTACATTTGTGGGTATAAAATATACTTTTTTACTTCTTCAGAAGAAACAATTTTCTAAGAAATCGTATTGAGAAAGAGCGTATTCAGTGCGTAACTTTTTACTTAATAATGGTTTTTCGTTGAGTACAGCCGATCAAAAGCAAAAAAAAAAATTGCCCTGGTGTAATATTTTGTATTTGTCTATTTGGGACTGTGTAAGGCTCATCTCTAAAAATTATTGGAATGGTCAGTACTGGATAATCCTCACTGATATAAATGCGGAAGGTTTGTTTGTTACGCTTTCATGCTTTTTTAACTACTCAACCGATCTTAATGAAATTTGGCACACTGGTTTCATTTAGCCCAACTTAAAAGGTAGGCTAGCTTTTATATCGATTATACAAAGAGGCGTGGCACCTCCCATACAAACGGAATTTTTCATAGTGCATACCTCTGGAAGTATTTGTGGTAGAGTACTGGAACTTGGTATAGAGATATATGAAATCAATACTATACTCATGGAAAAACTGTGGGTTCTTGGAAAAGAGCCCGTGGCACCTGCCATATAGACTGCATTTTTTATACTACCCCCCGTTAAAAAATTAACTTCAATTGAAAGTATTTTATAAGTTAAGTGAATCATTACGAAATAGATGACGATCGAGTCGTTGTAACCCAGAAATGGTGATTCTTAGGAACATAAGATATGGTGATTATTAGGAACGAAAGAATGTTACTCATACGTCGCGTACACCTAAGTAACACGCATTTCTGCTCATATTTCATACAAAAAATCTTTGCGCATTTTCATTTGACCTCTCATTATTTCGTATTTATCAATCGATTTTCTTCATCAGTAACTTGATTTTTTTTGTAACAGAACAGGCTTTAGCATGATAAAAAAATAGAAGTTAGTTTCACTTCAAACTTTTTTAACGGTTACAGGCATTTTTCAAGTTTCATAAATTGTACATTTTAAAAGCAGCGTTGCCACATTGGTATTAACAAAATATAACAGACGGTATTTTGGGATGGTACCTAACCTAGTCTTTTCAGACAATCCTAAATAGTTAATTTTATGAATTTTAAAATGTGAAATAATTATGATTAGAAGGTTTGCGTGGTAACAAGCAAAAAGCGAATTACATTAATTCACCTCAGGAAACCTCAAAAGAAGAAGGCATGTCAGGGCCGTAAAGATTTGCGGATTTTTATAAAATACCTGCAATTTTTCTATTTATGTACTATGTATGTACATTGGACTAAAAAAATTTTCGGTTCTTAAGCTTAAACTGGTTTGCCATCTGAGGT